GTACGGTTTGTATGACACCAGCGATTGAGTCAATGGTTTCGTAGCGCTTCATATGATGGGCACTATTGGAGTGTAGTTTCAATCACAGCCACCAGTCGTAGGGAGTGGTTCGCTAACGGCAACAGCGATCGCACGACACATACAGCAGCCGTTCATTCACTGTCTGCTGTAAACAGGTATTGGCGCTCATATCACATGCATTCACAAATAGTGTTACTGTTTTTGTGGGGGCGTACATGAAACTGACCCTGCGCTCGTGTTAAACTCGTTTATTATACGAGGCATCTATTTATCAAGAATTTTATAATCATATTAATTAAAGGCCTAAATCTGTGATAATTTAATTTAATTTTAGTTTGAAATTTATAGTAATACTGGTTATAAATTATTATTTTGTAGTATGCTCCCCACCCCCCTAAATGTGTATGTTTTAAATAGAGTGATAATTAGGCTTAACTAAATAATAAATTGTAGGAATTTGACATGGCATCGTAAGAATTAACCATGATAATTAAGTATATTCACGAAAAATGTATTGCTTAAATGTATTATAATGAAATATATTTGACTGTGCTCAGTTTATGTTTAAAAGTACTTTAGTACACTTTAAAATTTAAAGTTTACATTTTTGATATGCGCACAGAATATTCTGGATCAATAATTGTACAGTTATAGCACATAATACTCAACTAGTTTTTCAAATAGACTATATTGTACTCTCTACAAGTATATTTATTGTATAAAAATGATACACAATATTTGAAAAATATCATACTTATATAAAACAGAATTTATTTATTCTGTAAAGACACTAATACTGTATAATATACTATATAATAGTATATAATATACATATTTCAGATTCAATTATGTGGTTCAACACCATATCCAAAGAATGATTGCAATGCAAACTTGGCTCTCAATGGCACAATCCTGGTCATTTGGAAATAATAAATTTATTAAGCATTTTGTGATTACAATGGACAGTGAGTTGACATACTTCCCGATTCCGTAGAAAGCGAGTGCACTCTTGGGCACAGTAATGAGTGTCTGATTCCTGAGTACAGCGTTAACCGTCTCTTTAGCCACATATCGGGCGTCAATCACTGGGAATATCCAACTGAACCTAACATTCATTAAATTAGTATTTAATTATTAGTTAATATTACAGTAATTAATATACAATATTAAGAATTCATTTATTGTACACAAACTAACAACTATTTCGTAACCCGTTAATTCATATACAGTTTTTCAGTGACCACTTATCCCCGCTATTTCTATACAAACCTTGACTTTGGTTTCTTAAACATTCCGGTAGTCATAGCTAATGGACATATTGTGGTCAATTTGATGCCATCATTAGCTTTGTTTTGTCTCAACTCCATTTCCAGCGCCTCCATCAGCCCCACGATCGCAAACTTTGATGCGCTGATAGTTTTGAATAGTTTGTAAATCAAGTAAAATATTTTTTTATCAAAATATATATACCAATAGTCGACGAGATGTGCGGTACCGATGAGTCCGGCAATGGATGAGACGGCAACGATATGGCCGGTGCCTCGACTCACCATTTTTGGCAGATAGTGACGAATTGTCCAGAAGTGGGCAAAAGTGTTCACTTCAAAGGTTCTCTAAGAGTTTATAGAGATATTCATTTCAAATAATTTAATTACAAGTTTTTATTAGGTTTTAAAATGTGAAACCTTTATATTTTTGGAGTCAAGCGACTCGATTGGCAAACATTGGACTATTCCAGCGTTGTCTATGAAAAATAGTTTATTATTTAATTAATTTGATATATTGTTAGTTATATAGTTATTTGTTATATAGTTTTGAGATTTAATTGTGCGCTGATGTATGGCTTACTTATAAGAATATCCACGTCTCCTAAATCCCATTGGATTTGTTTAGCAATTTCTGCGATCGACTCCTCGTTAGTAATGTCACAGCAATAGGCGAATGCCTGTCCGCCCGACTCTTTGATCTCTTCCACCACTCGCTCATTGTTTTCCTAATTTTGTTATACAATAAATAATTTTTGTGTGTTTTTATTGGCACTTTACTTTTAAATATAATACATTTTAGAGGTTTAGTTAGTTCATTGTTGGCAATTATTTGAATTTTAGAAACAACTTAATATAACATATGATAAAGTTTCCATAGAATTAAGTTATCATTATTTTCACATATTAAAATCATGGTTTAATATGTTATGTGACAATTATGATCCATGTTTTTAATTAATAAAAATATGTATTATAAAATTGAATACTAGTGGACACACACCTGATTAATATCGATGAGTGCGAGTCTGGCGCCGAGTTTGGCGAACATCCTGGCCATTTCAGCGCCCAACCCATGCCCGGCACCGGTAATTACAATGACTTGATTGCGGACGTCCTTCTTTGGCACATTTATAATCACAGTGACCACAGACTCCACGTATGCACTGATTATCTTCACTAACAGTACGATGACATCAGTGATGAGGTCAATGAGGTCATGGAATAGCATTTTATATGATTATTGTGACTAATATTTCTTAATAATCAC